TTCAATGGTCAGATCTGTCACTTCAATATGCAAATTAGTGCATATTTAATTAGATATAGCCTGATTAGCATATTTAAAGAAAAATTACAGAAAACTTTCAATACATTTTTTTTACGTGAGTAATCAACTGGTAAAGTTTCATGGTGACTTCTATATGTTAAAATTTTTGTCCTATTCACCTGCAGCGTCTCGCATTAAAGAACCTCCAATTGTCTTTTCCTCTTAGACTTACGAGGACCAGCACAGCAGCGAAGAGGAAGGAGATGAGGAAGAAGAAGAGAGCGAGGACGGAGAGGAGGAAGACGACATCACCAGCGCGGAGTCCGACAGCAGCGAAGACGAGGGAGGCGAACAGGAAGACCAGCAGGGTTCGAGCAGACAGCAGCAGCTGGAGTGGGACGACTCGACCCTCAACTACTGATCCTCCCAAACACACAGTACACACTACTTTAAGATCACACACGCGCTCACACACAAAGACAAATCCACCCCATGCACAGTCACATCCCTCTGCCAATAGGGATGCCCATGTTCCCCTTACCTAAGGAGCCATGCGTAAAAAAAACGCTGAAAACTAAACGATATATGTACAATATAGATGCAAATATATCCGGTGTCTGTTGTGACAGGTGTTGCAGTCCGCTTCATTTCCCTACCGACATCTTATCGTGGTGTTATTCAGTGTAGTATAGTATCACAGGTATCTCAACTCTAATTTATTGAATCTTTTTCTGTCCTTTCCGAAGGGAAATCCAACATTGTGTTCGGACACATCCCTGCACTTTTACTTTCAAGTTGAGCTCCGAGAATGATTTAATGTATATTCCTTGCACCTGACGTTTTAGGGAGTATTTGTTCGGGAAATTTAGAGGAAAAAACTCTTCGACGCTTTCCGATCACTTTTCTTTTTTTTTTCTTCCTCTTTATATTGCATGGCAAGATTTGCAATCATTGGTATGGAAGAATTACAACTGCTTTTTGATATTTTGTAAATAAGATGAAACCATGTAATTAGTCAATGTGTTAGTGAAAGCCTAACCAACGGTCAGACACAGTACCTGCTGTAGAATATTTGTCAGATGCTCTTAGCATGTTTCAGAAACTTTTGGTAAATCTCATGCTCGTACAAAAGACGTGTCCGCTTCATAGAGAGAAACCCATGACAGAGGCCGAGGTTTCTGTGGCAAAGTGTCGCTCATTTTGTCTTTTCTCTTGGAGGTGGGTGTGCATCTATTTGTTTTCGTTCCGTTTTGTTTCGTTTTGTACTGTAGGTTGGGCGTGGAGTTGGTTCGGTCCTTCGGCTTTACGTATGCTAATTCTAGCTGGGCTTGCAATGGTACAAGTGCTACACCAAGGCTTCAATGTTTTTAAATCAGTGATGTTTTGGGGACTAATAATCACATTCAGGTGATACAGTTGTTGTTTTTTTTCTCGCGTGGTACTGTATGTTGTACAGTTAAGGCACACTGCAGTTATTTAAGCCATTCTTAAGTGATAGTGCTGCTTGTATTTTCTGTAATAAATAGAGACCAATTGGAATCACAGTATGCACTCTAATGACCCAGTCTGAATAACATTTATGAGTGAAATGACATGGAAAATGGGTGCGCTGCTGATTATCGACAATGTGAGCATTGTAACAGACCTCTGTTGCTAAAATACTGGCGTTTTTTTTGCAAATTCGGGGTTAGCCTACATTATTCTTGTCATTTTGAGGCCCCTAAAAGCATTAAAAGGGCTAATTTGCCTATCACGATGAATTTCAATTAAAAAGCGTAAAATATTTTTGCAGTATGGTCGGTAGATTTTATTGTACATGGAACTGTACTGTAGAGTTGTGTAAAGATATTTGTTTACATTTGGTAAACTTTTATTCCTTTTTGGTGACGCTATCAATCTACTCCAGATTTGCAGGTCATTTCTCCTCGTAGTTGCTCTCAGATCCATGTCATGGTTTCGGTTTCTTACTTTTTCTTACTGTGATTGGACATTTCGGGATGCACCTTCGAAAATTGTCGGTTATTGGGGAAAATGATATTCTGTTCCCATTGGGCTTGAAAAAGAATGTTAATTATTTAGGAGATTGTATATTGTTTAGTAAAGACGGACATGAAGCTTTAGGGTACTTCATTCAGACCTCCTTTTTTTCCGTTTACATGCATGACTATTTTTAGTTTAAGGCCTAAGCTACAAGGCTTTGTTGTGATTGGTGGTTTGAATATTATTTTATGTTATGTCAGAAAAGGTACAAATGCGGGAAGTTGTCAAGAAGGTCTATTTTGTGACCCATGAAAGGGCGATGGGAGAATTTTTTTTAGTTTTTGTTAAATGTTTTGGTCATCAGGTCCCCCTCAAAATTGACAGGACCTTTAAAGAGAGGTCCAGATTTCAGCTGGTGGAGTTGGGAGTGCCTTTTGCCTATCACAGCGCATTAATAACACTACTAACCAAACACTCATCCATGCCATTTTAGTTTTCTCATTTTATATTAGATTTCATACAGGTATGGGGAAGTGATTTTAACTTGGTTTTATTTCATTTTCTGTAACGATAGGGATCAACAGCTGTTTTATCAAGAGTGGGCGTTTTAATTGTCCAGCTTAGATGTCTTGTGTTCATGTTGATGTGTAGAGAAAATAGGTCCATACTGTATCATCAATGAATATTGTACTAAATAATGTTTGAGGAACTTCCACTTCGAAAAGATGTACATTATTGTAGGCAGCATATGTGGGTATAAGTTTAACAATATGTGTATAGTGAAAGGTGATCTTGAAGTGTATCTCCTGATGAGGGCAGCATGAAATTCACAAGAATCCGATACATAATGATTTCTCACACAAATGTAATAGTCTCTCACAGTGTATTCTCAACATGCAATCATTTTTTGAAAATGTTTGATCGATGTAGACCATTCCATGAGACCAAATTTAGGATAATCAATGTTTGTACTGAAAATCGCACAATTGTTTGTATCTTCCCTCCTTTCCCCTGATGCAAATGTTCATCCACAGTTTCTCAAGGGAAAAATCATGTGAAATGTATATTTCAAACGATGTGATTTTGTCATGTGGTTTTAAGGATTTTAAGACACTGGCGACAGAAACTTTCCATAATCAATTACCTGAGTCTGTGCTGAGTGTGAATGGCTGCAGATGGTGAGTACGTAACAGAGCATTGTCTTTGCATGTATAACACAGATATAAACATTTCCTGTAACTGGCACATGATACTGGTGTAGAGGGGTCAGGAGACTGGTGATACTACTGAAACAATGATTATCTGTCACAGATTTGCAGCCTTCAGTGGTCGTTGTTCACGTTTTGAATTACTTTTATTTTTTTGCTCTAGAAATGAAAATTGGGGATGTTGTAGAACTGTTGGATGCTGCCTTCCAGCTCATTCACTTTTCTATTGTTCAGAGGAATAATTATAGTGAAGTTGATGCTTGCTCATGAACAAAATAAAGGATGAGATGGGAATAAAGTGTGTTGGAGTTCAGATTATTTCATTCGATAATTATAGGCCACACACAATTTCTGTCTATGCCCACTTTTACCTTAGCACAAAAGTAAACCATATATATATATATATATATATATATATATATAAGTTGATACCGGTGTTATTGACATAGTATAGCATTCAGTAACCTTTAGTCATCTGAGTTTTAAAGGATTATTAAAAATCCAAACTTTAAAATCTATACTTCAAAGTTTTAAGAAAATATAAATAAATATGTTTCCTTACCCAAGGGGTGTTTAATCATTCACCATGATGTTTCCTCAGGCATTTCATCTTTCAAGATGAAGCTGAATTACAGACCAAAGTAATACTGCCACCTAGTGCTTGAAAACGTACAAATATTCATATCTACTACACGAAAAAAATATTTTCAAGATTTGTTATCACAACATTTTTTCTTTTGTCAAATCAACTTAAATAACTTATTTAGTTAAGACAACTTATTATTTTGAGTTTCTGATGATTAAATCAATCTCCTTCATTGTATTAACTCACTTTTTCCAGCTCAGTCAACTTAAAATTTTAAGGCAACCAGGTTACTTACTTTTTTTAAGTTAAACCAATAACATTTTTTACAGTATACCATTTAACTTTTCAATGCTGCCTAAAGGTCGAGAGCAGAAGGCCCAGTCCCAAATAACACACTTCATATGCACTTACAGTCTTTTGGACATACAATGGCCGGCCGGCATGTGCACGTGGCTGTGAAGTCCATGGCTGTGTCCGAAATCTCCACTCAAACCACTACTCCCTATGTAGGGGATAGTATAAACACCACTTTCAGACACTACTCGATCGTCTCTCGGTGCCGTTGATTACGTCATTGCTGTCGCAATATTTAAACGTGTGTGTGCTTACAAATAATTTATACATGTCTGACAAAATTGTAAAACTACTGCATATCATAAGTTAAACGAGAAAGAACATAATTTACATTTGTATGACAAATCTTGTCGTCCGTCCGCCATTTTTACGATCAGCGCAATGCATGATGGTCAAGGGGTTAATCCATCGACCGGAAGTTGAAGCCTCGTGGGAGCTGCCATCTTGTAACAGAACTTCACTTGCGTTACCATTTCCATCGACTCCCATTCATTTTGGCGTCACTTTGACAGCGAATAGCAGGGGTCCTCAAATCCGGTCCTGGAGGGCCACTTCCCAAAAATCAAAGCGACATTATGTCACGAAAATGCGGCCTCGTGGGAAGATCTCAAGTGTTTAGGGTGCCCATTTAGGACAGCTAAATAGTTTGGCAGTCTGTGTTTTTATTTGATGGTACATGGGCAGTGTGGAATTTTATAGAAAGTCTATAAATATTTACAAATTAAATGATTTTCCGAAGATCGCAATCCATTCTGTAATGGAATTCAAAGCCGTTTTTTGACTCCTTTTCCAAGCCACTAAAATATGCAGTGTAATAAAATAAGACAGTAAGACACTTCTTGTAAATACAGAAAAGGGAAAACAATGACAACTTTTCAGATGTTGATCGCCAAATATATTCGAACTACAAAATATTTACAAACATCACACTGGTTAAAAAAAAGTAATGACAAACGAAAATTAAAATGCATAGTAATTACAGTGTTACTATCAAATACTATTACCAAAAGGCTTATTGGCAGAAAACTTGATAATAAGGTTAATAAATTAATAACGATTAGTAGAAATAAAAAATAATCAAGACCATTTTGAATAAAGGCAAACTTACCTCTCTGTATTCAGAAAATAAGAGCTATTCTAAAATGTGCTTTCATGTGTAAATGTTTGAGACATTTCACTGAAAAACTGTAAACACTTTTTTTCACTGTACCCAAATAAGAATGTACAATCAAACATAAAATGTATTCGGAGTATACAATACAAAATAACTTTCATGATGACTCCCAACATAGATACTTTAGGTTGGGTGTAGAAAGTGTTGAAATTGCAAATTAAAAACAAATAAAAACGGTAAAACTCACAGACAGCATTTAGGCCACGCTCACAAAAAAAAAAAAAAAATTAAATCCTAGTAAACCAGACTTATGTTTGGGTCTTCCCAACTCCAGAACTGGCCAATGCCAGTATCTTATCTTCGGATCCTGGAAAGGAAAGATGTATTTAATTGTTAAAAAAGGTAATTCTTAAGCATAAGTTGCTTTAATAGTAACAGTTGGTTGATTCTCATCTTACCCAGGCTCGCTGTCACCTTCTCAAAGTGGCTCAGAGTGGCACTAGCATTTGCAGCAAGAAATGCTTCATCCTCTGTTGTGAGCTGCACGTTCAAACAAGTTACAGGTATAAGAAACGCTTTAACACGTGAGTCTTGAAATAGATGCATGTCTGCAGGAAAGCATTTGTGTTTCAATAATAACTCTCTCACCTTCTCGCCAAGTTTTCTCAGAGCCGTGAGGATCTCCACTTTCTGCTGAGTGTACACATCTCGAGCGAGCTTTCCAACCATCACATCACGGTCCATCTGAATTCATACAGTCATATCAACATATTAACGCAAGTCTTTGTATATAGGTAATTATATATTTGAAAATGTCAGTATTAAACATGTTAATCACCTCAGCGAGTCTCGTTCTCAGTTGCCCTGGCTGCTTTTTAGCAAACAGCCGAATAACTTCAGGTGTCTTGAATGCCTGACTGATGGCAGCTTGGATCGCCTGATAAATATTTGCACTCATAAATGATCTCTGAATATTTAATTAACGTTATACTAGTAGTCAGTCTAGATGTTTTTTCACACAGTAACAAAAATGGTAAAATATTCATACCTATAATTTATAAATCTTTTCAATACTGCCTAATGGTTCAGAGCAGTTTAATATATTAACATATACAGTATGTTAATACAATAAAATCTCATTTCTTACCAGCTGCATTCCTCCCAATTCATCAACTAGTGTCATATTCCCAGACATCAACTTCTTCAATGACTCATTGAACTCGCTCAACTGTTCTAGTGTCTCTTTTTTGGTTTCTTCGTATTCCTCTTCTTCAAGCTCTTCTCTGCAATAAAAAATTGCATTTTTTTTGTCTGCATGAAGCTGAATTTGCTATAGAGAACTGATGGGATGTCATTACCTGACCTCCTCTAAATCTTGGAGCTGTTGCATTAACCGGTCCAACTGTTCTTCCATGTTTTGTCTCAGTTTGGTTGTTTCTGATTTCCCCCGAGAAGCCATTCTTTATCTTTTTAAATAAATAACAGACAAATGTCAAATTTTCAGCACCATCTGTTACTACATATGAGAATGTTACACCTGTTATGATCTATCAAAATAGTTCTGATCAGTATTAGTATTGGCTGTATCAAAGTTAATATGATTATTAAAGCTTGGTTTACCATCTTGACAGGTCTAGTATCACATTCATGAAATATTTTGTCACCCTGCTTTATTTTATCTCTATCTCTCTATCTCTATCTCTCTGCGCAGTTAGCTTAGCTAGCACTTAAATATATAACTTATAAACAAAAACATTGCGAGTCCTAAACGGCGTGGTTTTACATTAATAAAATAATAATTCTCACCCGTACCTTTTTCTCCAATAAAGGTACAACTGATAAAGACAAAATTACGTTTATGTTTAGGTTCCTAAAACCAGTTCAGTTGCTAAGGTGTGGTTTGTTAGCACACTAGTATGGTTTTCTGCGTAAACTCTGCGCAGAGTTGATTATCAGGAACATACTACTGACTCATGGAAACTGCGCAAGTGCGCATGTCTGTCTTCCACCTAAAAAAGGTCTAGAAGCGAACTTACTGTCTATGGAAGCGAATTGATCATTTGTCCCCACAATGATGTTTCAGTTGTCAAAACAATGGGAGCGATCAATTATTTTTGAGAATGTTCTGTTTGTCGGTCTTGCTGTTTGTCTAGAGCTGTAACTGTCGGTTAAATAAAGACGGCGAAGTTGTTTTGGAGCACAACCAGTGCACTCAGCTAAATAGGAAGCACGAGACTAGTGTGTTGAATTGGTAAGAAGTAAGTTAACGTTAAACACAATATGGTGGCATATTATTACGCATATTTTTGGAATGGTGGTTTATTGTATAGAGGCTAGACTATCATTCTTAAATCCTAAGGCGAGGGTGCTTTATGTTTCCTCTTTCCTTGCTCCCTGGTGCAGAAATTACTATAGCTTTATGCTACCTCTTACTAGCCTATTTACACTTTTGAAATAGGAAATTTGGTTGTGATTTACCTTTAGAGAATTTGGTTGTTTTGTTGTCCTGCAGTCAAATTTTTTTTCATGACTATTGAAATATTCTAAATTAATGAATATATATATATATATATATATATATATTAATGAATATCATTTTGTGTAAATAATCAATTAATTTCAGAATATCTATCTATCTAAAGTAGATTTCTTTTTCAGCAGACAGCATCTTCCATATTATCAATGGCATCACAAGAGAAAACCAAACTGGTGCTACTGGCATGTGGGTCATTTAACCCCATCACAAACATGCACCTGCGTATGTTCGAACTGGCGCGGGATCACCTGGAAGACACTGGTAAATTTTAAATAAAAAATGTATTAATGTGTGAATATATATTATTTTAAAATTCACCTATTTTTGTTATACTCATTGCATTTTTTGTGATTAACGTTAAACATAATTAGCATACATCTTATTGTTTTTGTATTTCTTTGTTTACTCAGGAAGATACAGAGTGGTGAAAGGCATAATCTCTCCAGTTGGCGATAGCTATAAAAAGAAAGGTTTGATTGGAGCATGTCATCGGTTACAGATGGCTAGACTGGCCACGGAGAACTCCGATTGGATCACAGTGAATGAATGGGAGAGTCAGCAGTCGGAGTGGGTGGAGACAGCCAAAGTAGTTCGGTGGGAACATCTTAAGATCATCTGCTTTTAGAGAACATTTCATTTTGGTTGAAGTGAAAGATAAATCTGTCACACCCTTTCTGTTTTGCACCCACTGTAGTGCTTTCTGTCTTTGCATGAGTTCCATGTCACATCTGATAATGTCATCTTGTGTGGTTGGACGTCGTATTTGATGTGCTGCTACGTCAAAATGATCAACGTTTTATGCAGTCTGTTGACATTAAATCAGATCGTTCTGATCTTTTTTAGGCACCATCATGCAGAACTCATTTCCAGCGAGGACAGCAACAATGATGACGTGGACACTGTGAGGTGTGGCAAGAGGATAAAGCTGGAGCAAAATAAAAGCATCTGTCAGAGTTCTTATGTTAACACAAATACAGGTTTGGAAAATAATCCATAGCAATCTTTCAAAAGATAAATGTTCCTACTGCTCAGTGCACTTAAAAGGGTGTGTACCTTAGAATGTCACACACTGTACCTGTACTACAGGCAATAAATGTAATTGCTGATGTACCCTCAGGACAGTTAGTAGAGAAACAGGGTCCTGCGAGTTATATAATAGTGTTTACACTATTCAACACAATCTGCATATCTCAGAACTGTCCCAAAGCATTCCTCTCCAAGTGGAACGCTTTGAACAAATGTGAAGGTGTAATAAGTGAGAGTTGAAGCAACTTGTGAAAAGAAACTGTTCAAATGCTTGTTGAGTTGAGAGCAGTGCAGTCTTTCCCTCTAGATTTTAGAAAAAAAATTGCAAAAGCAGTGTAAAGAACGTGTTATTACTACAAACTTTAGTAATTGAAAAAACTTCCTTTTGTGATCTGACTTGGCTTCATAAAATATATTTTGTTAGTATTCTATATAGTGAAAATAGGCAATGTCGATTAGCATTGCATTATAAATATACTTTATTATTATGAAAATAACCCAGGTGGCGTGAAGAACACAGATAAACCATATATTGTCGCAGTCGTATGTTTATTATCTTTGTTTCATCAGTCAATACATCTTTATCTGCATTTTTTATTCTGCTGCAGCGATATCTGGATGGCTGTGTCTGAAATCGCATACTCTCTAAAGTAGGTACTTATTTTGAATAAGTAAATAAAAAAGTATATTCTATATAGTACAAGTTTTTGTAGTATGAATGTAATCCAGGCGTACTATGTTCGCCATGTTGTCATTATCAGCGTCAGTTATGTTTGCTTCACTGCCATTCATAAATCCTCTCCTGTGGCCTCATGGGATTGTAAAGTGTCCACTTCAGAATGTCGTCGAAAGTAGTAGGTTATCGGGGGACTTTTGTCTACTCTTTTATGAGCACCGTGAATTCGAGATGGTCCTCACTGCAGAACATGAAATCCACGGGGAGGAGTCGGATCCAGATCCAACTCCTCCCACCTTACATATGCCTAAACCTACCCAGCTCCACCCCCTGATCCCTAAACCCACCCCTAAACCTACCAAGCTCCACCCCCAGATCCCTAAACCCACCCCTAAACCTACCAAACTCCAACCCCAGATCCCTAAACCCACCCCTAAATCTACCAAGCTCCACCCCCGACTCCTAAACCTACCAAGCTCCACCCCCTGACTCCTAAACCCACCCCTAAACCTACCAAGCCCCACCCCTCAGATCTGGATCTGACTCCGCCCCCTGGATCTCGTGTACTGCAATGAGGTGCTATTGGTGAATTCAGACATATTTATTTTGTCACATACTGTTTTTCGCCTACTATGTAGTAGGGTAAGTGTGCGATTTTATGACTGTCCATTTAAGGGATTTCCAGAAACATGAAAAGTTTTATGACTCAGTCTCACTTGTGGGCTTTCTGCGTAAGGGCGCCCTCTGGCTACGAGTATGAATGAAACAGACTTTACATCACGTGTGTAGTGTACTCAATAATGCTCACAACACCCTATTTAGGGTAAACATAGGAAAAATAAAACTCTATAGAAATGTAAAGTAAACGTATACAAATCCATAAGTTTTCTCTTTCTCTTTTTTGATAAAAAATACAGTAAAATTGTATTAATACAATTTAATTTAATTATTTATTATGGTAAATCTGAATTTTCAGCTTAATTATTATCATTAAAAATATTTTTGTGGAAACCATGGCACATTTTTTTTTTTTTCAGAATTCTTGAATGAATAGCAAGTCCAAAAGTAGAGCATTTATTTGAAATAGAAATATTTTGTATCGTTATAAATGTCTTTACTGTCACTTTTGATTGAGTTAATGAATCCTTGCTGAATATGTCTTCATGTTTAATATTTAGTTGCAGAACAGCCTATCCATACCATAATTGACTTGTAGCATTGGCTTTGGAAAGGAGCACATATTTCAAATGAATCATGACTTTTAAGATCTGTTATAATTAAAGCTGTCAAAATCACTAATGATGTGTATTATTCTCATAAATGTATATTTTAGAGACCCCTCATCTGAAGCTGCTATGTGGTGCCGATGTGCTGGAGTCATTTGGTGTCCCCAACCTTTGGAAGCCAGAGGACATTGAGGAGATCGTGGGAAAGTACGGTTTGGTGTGCATCACAAGATGTGGCAGTGACGCTGAGAAGTTTATCAATCAGTCTGACGTGCTGTACGAACACCGAAAGAACATCCATATTGTTCGAGAATGGGTGACCAACGAGATCTCAGCTACACATGTGCGCCGTGCCCTGCGCAGAGGACAGAGCGTTCGCTACTTGCTGCCCGACCCGGTGGTGCGCTATATTCAGGATCACAGTCTGTATAGCGCTGAGAGCGAGCAGAAGAATGCTGATGTCATACTCGCCCCTCTTCAGAGATACACCAGCACTAACTAGACTGATGGTCTGCTGCTTTTGAGCTAGACTCTTGTTCTGTTTGGGGTATTTGATTGCGTAATTGACTCTTGATTCATAGTGCTTTTTGCTTTCTTGAACACATTTGGCTAATGAGCAATTTGCATTTGATCGGGAATTATTTAGTATGGCCAATAGTGAATGATGCATTTTGTGAAATATTATTTGTTTTGATTTTTTAAATCAATTTTAGAACAGGAAGTTTGCAAGTTTTTACAATTATATACCTCTAGAGTATACAAAAAATTATTTCAATATTTAGAACAATAAATGGTTTGCAATATGGGTGCCAATAAATGTAAAAACTGTTTATAATTGCCATTTGCTCCTTTTTATTATTGTACCTATAATCTGTTAAAAAAATGATTGCATGACAAGTGTTGAGCGTCAGTAGAGAAGGTTGCTCTAGAATTCATGCAATGCCACATTTGCGTGACATTTATTTGACAAGTGAGAACATTTGCCTTAGCATTTAAACTTTTTTGTTTTGTTTTTTTTCATTTTAGAGAATTCAGTGTTGAGATCTTGACATGTAGAGTAAAGCAATTTGACAGTGAAGTGCTCTTGCATGTTTTTGGGGGATTTTTTTTGTAGTTACAGAACAAGTATGATCTTAATCTGCAGACCATCAGTGCTAATATATGAAAATCCTATCTTATACCACATATATACTGCAGCAATGTGGGAATTCCCTGCTTGGAACAACGTGACTACTACAGCAAATACTTTTAGTTGATTTTCGCCCATGTATAGTGAAGTTGTTTGTTTTCTGTTAAGAATAAGATCATATCTACACCTACATTCACCCTCAGGCACTTGTCCTGGTGTGTAAAATTTAGAGATAGTAAACTTTAAAAAGACTTTAGTTTCCCTGGTTCTCTCACTCGTTGTGTCTGTCACTTTGATTCATTAGGTACATTTGCATATAATAAAAACATCCTAGCATATCATCCAAGTCACCCCTTTCAAGTCACATTTGATACCTTGTAGTTTTGTTTATTGTGATCAGATTTGTTCAATCAATCGTGGTTTTAAAATGAGGTCTAAAATGATTGTGATGTTTTTAAGTGCATTTATTTCATCCACAGAATGGAGCTTGATTCAATTTTAATTAACAGCTATTCATCATCACATGCTCAATAGTAAGTTTCTGTCTCTTTGACCTATTTATCGTCTTCCTTTAAGAAATTCACAGTAACTTGACGTGCGTAAGTGATGTTTTGTTTTTGTTTTGTGGCGCTCATGTGATTATGATGTCGTATTTGTCATTTGACAGAAATGGAAAAAAAAAAAACTGCAAAGAATTTTTCCACAACGTACAAGGAAGACAATGCAAGTGAACTTAACGAAAGTAAAGTTGAATGCATTTTGAACATTAATATTTTTGATGTTCAAAAATTAACATTTTATATAGCCCAAAAGCGTCTGAACAGGTATTTTTGTGTTCAAGTTTTTTGGGGGCAAACTATTGGCACACAAACACCGGTCAGACACGTTTATCTTTACGTAATGCATGAGAAACAAAGACATGCAAATCCGAAAGAAGGACCGCCCACTCAGCTCACAACACATAAAAGGCATGGATTTCATGATAAAAGTTATTCTACTACGATTGTTTGCAGACGGTTAACAAAATGCCTGTAAGCCTCTGTGGTACATGGGACATGGTCAGCAATGTCAACTTTGAGGGAATCATGATTGCTTTAGGTAAGACTTCTCTTTTGTCTGACATAGCTAATATAATTTTTTTCACAACAATATTATATTATATTATATTATATTATATTATATTATATTATATTATATTATAAATAGCCTCTGGCTAAATCCGGTACAATACATGAAATGGTAATTTTATGTTAAAAATTGTGCATGGTCCCTGCATAAATAAATAAATAAAGAAAGAATATTATATTATATTATATTATATTATATTATATTATATTATATTATATTATATTATATTATATTATATTATATTATATTATATTATATTATTATATTATATACAGTGTGTAAGCATTCCCATTTGTTGGCTATTTATTTAATGTAGGCCTATGTCAGGAGGAGTAATAGGTCCTAAACTTTGTCCTCTCACAGAGATCGGCCTGTACACCCGTAAGATCGCCCTTAAGCTAAAACATCGCAAAGTAATCGAGCAAGTGGGGGATCAATTTGTTGTGAAGACTATCAGCACTTTCAGAAACTACACTTTCTCCTTCAGAGTCAATGAGGAGTTTCACGAGTTCACCAAGGGAATGGACGACAGACACTGCAAGGTATTACAAAGTTTTATCTATCTATCTATCTATCTATCTATCTATCTATCTATCTATCTATCTATCTATCTATCTATCTATCTATCTATCTATCTATCTATCTATCTATCTATCTATCTATCTATCTATCTATCTATCTATCTATCTATCTATCTATCTATCTATCTATCTATCTATCTATCTATCTATCTATCTATCTATCTATCTGTCTATCTGTCTGTCTGTCTGTCTGTCTGTCTATCTGTCTGTCTGTCTGTCTGTCTGTCTGTCTGTCTGCCAGTCAGCCACTGGCAGCTGCCAGTCAGTCACGTGACCTGCCAGTGGCAGCTCCTGCCAGCCAGTTGAAGATTGAACCCCCACTCTCTGTCTGTCTGTCTGTCTGTCTGTCTGTCTGTCTGTCTCTCTCTCTCTCTCTCTCTCTCTCTCTCTCTCTCTCTCTCTCTATATATATATATATATATATATATATATATAAATGTAAGGTTTCCTTGTTACAGTGTTATTACGTTACACAGAATTATGCATATATATATATATATATATATATATATATATTACTAGTAAGTAGCCTAGTATATTATATATTGTCTTTATTTTTATGACATCTCATTGCAGAAGAAATTTTATATTTTTGCAACACCTGAACACCAACATCACACTTTCATTATTATTTTTAGTCTGTTTGAAGACAAATATTTGCTCACCACCACACAATATGGGAGAAACACTTAATGCACTGTTTGAAAATTAAACATATATATTTTTCTAGTCTCTGGTGACCTGGGAGGGGAACAAGTTGGTGTGCATTCAAAAGGGTGAGAAGAAGAACAGAGGTTGGAGACACTGGATCGAGGATGACAAACTCCATTTGGTAAGTGTGAAATTAAGCATCATACACTATACACTTCTGCAATAAACATGTTTGATTTCATCCATTAACCCACTTAAGTAATAATCAGACCTATCAACCTTTTACAGGAGTTGCACTGTGAAGATCAAGTCTGCAAGCAAGTTTTCAAACGGGTTATCTGAGGCCCTGCGGTGACGTTTACTACTTGAAAAGGCACAATGCTGTTAACAAAGACAAAGTTGTTCACACTTCTAAGTCAGAGGATTATGAGGCGAGAACAAGAACCAAGCGTTTCAACTTGTGCCTCAAAACCTGACTAATCAATTACAAGCAGCGAGAGAGGCTTGCAGACTGAGGCAGGATGTCTAGAAGTATGATTTATAGTGCCACTAGAGGGCGCAATAAGACCACAAACAGACCGAACTCGGGTCAACTACAGTTTAGGCACTAGAGACAACTGCGTGTTGTCAATAGTTGTGCCACCATTGACTAATGCTAATCATGTTTACATGTAATACAAGAGACACATTCACTCACCTTTAGCAATGTGTAATGTAGTACTTCTGTTTTTCTCGCAAGCCAGAATCATTGTTTCACAATAATATGACTTATCAAGGGCCATGCTTCATTTTGAATAGATTTTTAAAAACGTTTTGTAAAACTGTTTTTTTTTAAATAAAAGCTTATTAAGCTTTATTTTTTGTTTATGTATATTTTATGATACCTAAATATATAAACTTTTGTTAATTCAATTACTTAAATTTAACACCTTGTTCAATTCTGTTACTTTAAAGTCCCTTATTGTGCAATAAAATTTGAAACACGTTATAATTGTGTGTTATTTTTCCCTATAGATTGTAACGTCTCTATCATGGAAATTGCAATCAACAACAATAAGTTAAATCAACAGAAAATAGTATTATTCAGTAATACAACAGATTATAACAGACACTTTGTGAACACAATGCTGATTTGTAATATTTCTGGTTTATGGGATCTCATCTTGGGGATGATCAGTCAACAAACTAATCAGAATGATGGTAATCTTTGGAAGTTTGTAAAGAAACAGATAAATATATGTAGAGAATTATTACATCTGGTAATAATGCAATATACATATGCTATATTTCGTTATTATTTGTTCATTTTTTAAAGATGTATAATAATAACTATATGCGTTTACATCCATTTAACCAAATTAGAATTGGTACTGAAGAAAACAAGTCTCTTGAGATTGGTTTTGAAGAAAACAAGTCTCTTGAGTTCGCCTTAGCAGTGAAATCAGTTTCCTGAACTGCCGCAGCATGGAATGTGTCGATCTCACGTCACGTGATTCCAGATCCAAAATGGCCGCGTCGGTGTTTTGACGAATAATACTTTTGTGTTTGTTTCATTCTTAAAAGAAACCGAAGATAACGCTTCCCGATCGTAAAACAATCAACCACGCGCGCTTGAATTTTTAAAATAAAGATCTAAATAAGATAATCACAGCTTATTTATATTTGTTTTATGGTTCAGACTATGCACTTTTGGTGTTTATAAGGAAGCTAGCTGACTGGCTAGCAACATAATTAAGGTGAACATTAAAAGAAAAGCAATGGAGCAGCTCAGTCCTGAAGAGGTAAGGCTATTTTCACACAGTTTAGTGCAATTCTAGTCGAAACCGCTCATATGATGTCAGGTCTGTTATGTTTTTGTGTTTTGTTAAAGGCTTATTGACTTGTCATTGTCACCTTTTCAATCGCAGTAGTAATGGGATAAGCTAACGACACAGGCTAATCAACAGCTCAGTGTATCCAGATCAAACATATTGCGCACAGAAATATGGGGCTAGATGTTAAATCGTAATTTCTAGCCACTTAAGTGCCGATATATAGGTGTAATTTAACCAGAATAAGGTTATTTCCAGTCAGCTCGCAAGCTGTTGATAAATTTAATAAACTAGATCTGACACAAGCCTAGACAATCTGCCTTTTCTTATGTTTTTTTTTTTTTCAATTTGACAATTAAAATATCCTTATCGTTTTTAATCGCTGGGGAGCTTGTAACCAGTTGACAAGTTAAGATTTCTTTTGTGAAGCTTTTCTTCACTGGGAATCCAAAATGGCTGAAAGACTGTCGTGTGAAGAAATAAAATCAGGTTTTACCAGATATTTGATTAATTTAAGTTTTTACATTTAAAGTCGTGATAAAATATGCAATTACAGAGGTCAGCTTTGCCAAAGCTATGCATTTGGTTGAATGGTGTCTGTTTTAGAAACTGAAATCATGCGCAACAAGCTACTGTCAGGCGTCAGGTCGGTGTAATTATAATGGGGGAAACTAATGAAGCATACAACCTTTGGTTTAACCTGAAAAACCTATTATTTTAGGTATATATAATTTGGAATTTAAAGTGCATTTTAACCAATAGAGCTCTTTGTTTCAGTTTTTGGATATTGCTGTTTGGCATTGGTTGTTGCTGCTCTATGACACCGGTGTGCATTTCAGTCAGTTCTTTGTGTTTGGTTGTTCTGCTGTAAATTAAGACCAAACTCTGCCCAGATATGACCTACAAAAACATCTTAAACCACCCTATTAGCAGGTTTGCTGGTCTCCCAGTCAGGTCATACTGGTTTTCATGGGTTTTAGGCACTTTTAAACTGGTCAGGCTGGGAGTTAGCTTAAATAATAATCATTAAAATAGATTAAAAAGATGTATTCTCTAAAATAGATGTCAACAATTTACCATTAATTTTCTAAATAAGTTGCTGTATTGATTAATAATTGCATTTATTCTGTATTTTAGCTCACACAAATATGAAATGGTATACAATTCAATGTTATTTTAAAAAGCATTATATGTCTGTGAACTGAGATGCATCATATGTCTTTACCATTTCACTGACTATTTTCTGTAGAAGATGAGGCCTTTAGTTTGCCTTCTCCAGCTCGTATGACTCACTCCACTGTGTAGTGATGATTCTTCACTGCTGAAAATACTGCCGATGCTTTAGCACGTTAAAAAAAAAATACTGTTGTTTTCCTCAAAAGCATGCGTGTAAGCGAAATTCCCTCTTTGCTTTTAAAGATATGCTATTCCAACTAAAAGCAGTTGAGGTCAGATTTCAAACTTTTGCTCATTATTGATCTGTAATTAGATTCAATTGTAATTACTCTATCTTGTTTAGATCCGAAGAAGGCGGCTGGCTCGGTTAGCCGGAGGACCCACATCACAGCCCAGCACCCCCCTGAGCACCCCCTTGACATCCCCACAGAGAGAGACTCCTCCAGGACCCTTGCCAGGGCCATCTGGGGCTTCATCGCAGCCTGTCCCACCAGTTCCATCTCACTCTCTCGGCCTAAATGCCCAAATGGTCACCCCTGCCACTTCTCCTATGGGGGCCTCTGGTAAGTGCTATGGTGACTTTATCATTCGATCATTCGAAAAGGACTGTGGATAGAGATCCATCCAAAATAGTTATTCTTTTTAAAGAAATTAAAACTTGTTCAGCAAGGATGCATTAAATATTGATCAAAAGTGACAGTAAAGATTTTTTATAAATGGTGTTCTTTTGAACTTTCTATTCTTGATTGTTTTCACGATAAATATTAAGCGCTGTTTTCAACAGTGATAATATTAATAGTAAATATTTCTTAATCCCCAAATCAGCATATTTAGAACAATTTCTTAAAGGGTTAGTTCACCCAAAAATGAAAATTCTGTCAGTATTTACTCACCCTCATGTTGTTCCAACCCCGTAAGACCTTCGTTCATCTTCGGAACACAAATTAAGATATTTAGGATATTAAAATCGCTCCTGCATACAGTCCATAGGCTTCTTGAGGGACTGGCTCTTGCTGTCCTCGAAAAGTAATTGAAGACATCGTTAAAATAGTCCAAGTGACTACAGGGGCTCAATCTTAAGTTTATCAAACGACGAGAACACTTTTGTGCGCAAAAAAACAACAAAAATAATGACTTTATTTCAACTATTCACTTCCTTCTCCATAAGCCTATAGTCCGTTAACGTAGTGTGATTGCGTAGAGCTACGTCACACGTAGGCTCACTATTGGTCGACGCTGGTCATGTGTGTGTGATGCGTGTGACGTACAATAACAGAAGCTTACGCTATTAAACTAGTTAGCTGACTCGCGCAGAGGGAGAAATAAACGAATAGTTGAAATAAAGTCGTTATTTTTGTTGTTTTTTTGCGCACAAAAGTGTTCTCGTTGTTTGATAAACTTAAGATTGAGCCCCTGTAGTCACTTGGACTATTTTAACGATGTCTTTTATGACTTTTCGGGGACGGCAAGAGCCAGTCCCTCAAGAAGCCTATGGACTGTATGCAGGAGCGATTTTAATATCTTAAATATCTTAATTCGTTTTCCGAAGATGAACGAAGGTCTTACGGGGTTGGAACAACATGAGGGTGAGTAAATACTGACAGAATTTTCATTTTTGGGTGAACTAACCCTTTAAGAATGTGACACTGCAGTAATGATGCTGAAAATTCTGTTTTGAAGATTAATAAATTACATTTTAAAATATATATAAAAGAGAAAACTGTATTTTTGTTTAAATAAATGCAACCTTGGTGAGCATACAAGACTATAAACCAAAAAGTTTATAGACTTGCTATATTTCCATTATTTTCATTTTTTTAGATTGTTTACTTTCAGATACAGCTTTTCAGTTACAAGGAATGTAAGGCATAACTTATGATTTTATGCTGCATCTGACAATAAATGGATCAATAAATGCAATATACAGAATTATCCACAAGAATAGGTTTCAGCTCTGCAGCATTTAATGTCATTTTTAATATTATTAATGGTAAATGTTGTTTGTTTAATGGACACAGTGCTTTTTGAGCTGACATGTGAGTTGTATCTGAAGCCATTTTACTGAGACTGTGATCTTGTCCTAGTGTAAAATGTTGACGCTAAAATGACCAATGTTATAGTATAGAGGATCTAAGTGGCCTATTTGTAATCCTGTGTTGATGAAGCTTTAATGTTCAAGTTATATAGCATAAGTTGTTGGTATATTAGTGATTTGATCAATGCCTTTTTTAAAAGATTTTATTGTTGATAATATCAACATCATTGCTGTGGAAAATTTGCACAGTCATGGAGCTGTGGGCACAGCCTTGGCCAGGGTTTAACTGAGTTCACATAGACATGCGAGGCTGATGTTGGTTTTTGTTCTCATGGTGCCATGATCTATTTTTTTTAACTGTCAGCGTACCATGTTACCAGTGATTATGTTCCTCTTTAGCTTCATTTTTTTACAGAGTAAAGACCCTTGGTCTCAACACGGACCATGTAACCATATAGACATGTAAACAAACCGAAAACAGGACATGATGTCACAAAGATGTGACCCTGGCTATAAAAGACAGAATGCTCAAGCATACCTGTTTTTTCTCGTCATAGCCATGACAGTTTGGTCTTTACATATTTGATAAGCTCTTCACAAGTTGTCAGCTCCATCATATGTATGCACATACAGCGAGTGCATTTAGCCCAGCACAAATCATTGTTTTGGATGTTCGACAAGTTCCCTTGCAAAATATTTGTCGTAAAAGCT